TCCCCTCACTTTTCATATGATGTTCAGGGTCAATATTTTAACGTATTTCAACGTCAACAAATGTTGATTTCATTGGCAGCTCGTTAAGCGTTGGAGTTTTTTTCTTCTTTTTTTTTTTAAGTTGGCCCCGGTGACGCCCCCCGCCTTCGTCGCCGCCCCCGCTGCCGCATCTTTTGCGAGTTTTCCTTTTCGAGTTGTTTTTCTTGAGGAAGATGCACGCTGACAGCTGAAGACGTATGATGGAAATTAATAAAACAAGCGTAAACACTTAAAAGGCGCTCCGGCTCCGGCTCCGGCTCTGGCTCCGACTCAATCGATTCCACGCGATTGACTCTTAGCTGACCCCAACACCCGCCGCTCCCGCGCCCACCAATCCGGCCTATAAGCGGCAGGCACAGTGAGGCAAAAAAAAAAAGTAATTGAAAACAATCATTAAGAAAGGGCTGAAAGAAAAAACGTACTGAAAAACTTAGGTACAGCGCCCTCTCCCTCTCTTTCTATGTGTATCACTTAATTATAACTGTACACACGCACACACACATCTCTATATTTCGTTCTTTGTTTCGGGCATTTCGATATTTGTATTATTTCTTTTCGTACACCTTTGGCAGCTGCTGCTGCGACCTCGCTGTGGGATATGCGGCACAGACAGCGACGCTTCAGTGTTTACTTTTTCACTTCATTAAAGGAGTTGCTTGCTGAGTTCGCTCTTAGCCGACGTTTCTCGTATACCCTGTAATAGTCAGTGCTTGTGGGCATATACAGTACTGCCTGTGCTGCAGTCTCTGAATGTCTATTTCAGGCTAACTTCGTTGAGCTGACCTCAGAGAACTCGGCGATGGCTATGGGTAAAGCCATGAAATTTGGTATGCGGACTTACTTCGGCTTTACTTATGGAAATATATTCCGAATTTGGATTACTTTCATATGGATCTGCAGTTATGAACTAATTTTTATTGTATATGATTAATTATTTAAAAAGTTTTTATTTATATCAGTTATTCAACTCGTCTGATTCTATCCGTACTTCCTATAAATGCAAGGAACTAACAACTGGCTTATGCTAGCGCAATGGAATTTCAATATGAAAGTCATATGAACCCAAGGAACTAAGAACTGACTCATTCTAGTACTATAAAATTTGATATATTGGCTAATATGGGCTTTATATGCATGTATATGTATAATTGCTGTTTGAGCTTTCTCATGCATCTAAAGAGTCTGAAGAGGTCAAATCTAAAGAATCAAAAGCCTTAAGCTGATTTAATTAAAACATATTGTATGCAAAATATAATATAATATWGAGTAAGTATATATGTGTATGCAGGGTATATTTGAGTTGGCGTCTCTTAAAGAGTTTCTTCTACAAACAGGGTAGCAGTCAGTCGTTCAGTCTGCTTTATCTTCCTCTTCGTCTTCTCGCTTCTTGAGCTGTTATTACCGCACAACCACGAGAGTCGTAGGAGTTGTACAACATATTCAGAGAATGGCGCGACGTCCCACTGTGATGGGTCTCGAGACACGAACCACGGAACCGCAAAGCTGAGACCTAAAAACTGAAGAATGAGAGGGAGACAGAGAGTAGAAGAGAGAGAGAGAGAGAGAGACAGAAAGAGAGAGCGAGAGAGATTGAGTAACCCTGCCATATTATTTATTTCTTTATTAATTATTGTTTTGATACCTCTTTCGCCCACTCTCCCTTTCTCTCTCCATCTTGTACTACCTATCCATCTATATAAGATTTCTGTCTCTTGGGTAACTTGATTTGCATATCTAGAGGCAGAGCAGGGGATTCCTTCATTTGTACTCGCAATTAGCTCATGTTGGACTTCTTTCACTCATCTGATATTCCCTTAATTTCGCTTAATTATCTTCAATTGTTTAATAGCCGTCTGATTTGGCTTAATTACACTTTACAAATCGCCAAATTAGCCGGCGGCAATTGAAGTTGAATTCGCAACGGTTGAAAGCTACATAACTGTATTTATATAATTGACGCGCTGCAGTTTCAGTGGATTGAATCGACTGATTGGATTGAACTTCAAGCTGAACTCTGTCTCATTCGATGCTGCATTTGCTGCTTCATCATCAGCCAATGCAAAGTTGATAACGGATTGAAACAGGTTGAAGAGCTCTTCAGAGCTAAACGCATCGAATGGCATTATTTACAGGCTAATTAGTTCAATTGAACTTTTGTCAAACTATAGAAAAGATATTTGATTGAGAATTGAATTGAATTGAATTGAATGGATGTGATATATAATTGCATTATATAAATGAAATTGAACGTGAATTGAGACCAAAGCAAATAGTTTTCAATTTCAATTAGATATCAATCACATTGGTGATTTCTTAGAATTTCTATACATATATCCTTACTACCGAATACTATAGATAAATATTAGATAGAATAAAAAGAAAACTCTCGAAGAGTTCCCTAGATGACTTAATTCATACTTACTGGAATTATTGATTGGAGCAGTAGAATAAATGGAGATCGAATGCACTTTTCAAATAGATCAATTTCGTTTAATTGTGTATTATACACAGGCACACAAACAAATGCGCCCACACACACACACACACACACACACACACACACACATACAGATCGCAAAGAGCGAGGCTTACCTTCGCTAGCTTATAAATCATATCATATCATATCATTTTACCAGCAGCAACAACAACAACAACAATGCGGGCCCACGCAGCAAATAGCTCAACAAAGTAACAGAGAGTGAGCGAGAGCGAGAGAGAACAGCATGAGGAAGAGGGCAGAGGCAGAAGACAATGAAGAATAACAGTCTCAGGCCTCGGACCTCAAGTGGCGCTCAAAGCCGGCGCTCAAGTGTGCACACACACACAAACACATGTGCGTGAGCTATACAAATGATGAGAGCATAACCGATTGGGAGAGCGAGCGAGCAGCAACTACAGCAACAACCACATGGCTGGCCAACCATCGCTCATGTGAAACTCATAAATTCACGCCGCGGCAGACAACGGCGTCGTCAGCGACGACGACGCAATTAATCTGCCTGCTGCCTTGCCTGCGCCGGCCTGCGCAGTCGCCGTCGTGTGCGCCTTCGCCTTCGCAGTTGCCGTCGCTGTATGCCTTTTGCGCCAGCGCAGCTGTTGACAACGTCGCTGTCGCCGCCCGCTGCGCCCGTTGATTGACCTTATTATTTTCTCTGTGCGTGTCAATGCGTGTGTGTATGCGTGCATGAGAAATGTGCCCAAAATGTGTTGTAACTGTTTATCGATGAGGGACACAACAACTGCAGTTTGGCACTTGGTGGCTGCTCAAAACAGCAAGAGCAAGAGTGAGAGGGACAGCGAGCGGGGAATTGGCTTTTGCGGTTATGCCGAGGTGTCATATTACGTCTTGAGTTGGGTTGGTTGCGACGGCAGCGCAGCTTGCGAAAGCCGCTGCTCCGCTGACGCTTGCGCCGTCTGTCATTTATAAGACTTGAAGAGCGCATTTATCAATTATAAGAAGCTGCATTTAGCATGATTAAGGGATGGTATAACTTGGCGAAGCCGATATATATCGTATTGATACTTAGGCAATTGCTATAGATGCAAATATTTACAAAATAAATCTATAAATTTAAAAATTATTGTCTATATGAGTTTATTGCTAAAAACTAAAGCAAAAAATATCGATAAATTTAGCAATTCTATACATAGAATATAATTGTTAAAGTTCTTTTTGCCAACAACTTAGATTCCACAGAAATCCTTCAACAAGTTGTTTCCGAAATTTCGCAACATTAGCCAAGTTCACAACCCGCGAGGCGCACTCTCCTGTAGCCCGTATAAGAGTTTCAGGCTGCCATAAAAACTGTGCTACGACCAGTTATCGGCCGCTGCTCTTAAAGGCGCAACTAAGAGAATATAACAGAAAAGTTACATACAAATTGTTGTTGCGTATAAACAAAAATATTGGCTATAAAAAAAAAAAAACTCTTGTCCAATTGGGATAAGAAAAAAATGGCTAAAAATTGAAGAAGAAAAAAAAATAAACAAATAATTATTTTCATATGAATTTAAATAATATAGGTCTTTTAGCTAATAAATTGGTCTTGTTCGATATGTAAACAAGTTTATATAATTTTTTTTGTTCAATGAAAAAAAAAAAAGCATATTTTTTTGTGAACGAAAAATGGCGTAAATTGTTGTAAAAATTGATTAAAAAAAAATTAATGTGAACAAACTGTTATACACGAATAATGCGACGCAGTAAACAACATAAAAAAAAAGTTCGGCTTTAGCGGCAGCAGCGCAACAACAGAAACCTGTGGCGGCTAACAGGAGCGCTATCCTGTAAACTGTAAACACGCTCAGCGCGCGTATAACAGTCACGTGGCTCAGCTGAGAGCAACAGACTGAGAGCCAGATAGAAAGAGAAAGATTGAGAGCGAGCTAGAGAGCAACCGCTCTAAAGTAACAGAGCGCATTTAAGCTGTTTGTTTATGTTACTGTTAGCATTTACTTTAGACAACAAATGCAATTTGTCAATTGCGGAGCTGCGGATGTTTGAAGAAGAATAAAAATTAAAAAATAGATAACGGAAAAATGTATAAATATAGTAATATATTATGCATATTAAATTCGAATTAAGTATTTTTTTATGTATATATTTTTATATGTATATAATCTTTAATATTTAATATTTTATCATCAACATTACACATTTTTACTTAATTTTTTTTTTTTTTAATTTAAAATTCATTTATTTTGCATTGTTTGCCAATTTGCTTGACTAGTTGAGAGGCGCTGACCGGTGCTTAACAGTCGCTGTCGCCGTCGCTGTTAAGCAGCAGCATCAATGTAATCTATTGGGCCGCTTACAGAGGCTGTGAGAGCCACCCGCATGTTTTACATCTTTGTGTGAGAGCGCCGCACTATAGCATATGCAGTTGCGCTCTCTTGCTCTTTCGCTGTTGTGCGCTCACGTGCTAAACGGGCTGTCAGACAGGCAGGCAGGCAGGCAGGCAATAACAGCAGCAGCAACAGCAATAGCAGCCAGCAGCAGCAGGCAGCAAGCAGCAGGCAGCAGCAGCAGCCATCGTGACGGGTACGCATTTAGTTCTGTGCGATTCATTGAAGCGTTTGGACACGTTGTCGGTGCGTGTGTCCCCGTTAATCAGCGCCAACCGATTTCGTTCTCGTCTCTCACTGTGTGAGCGCGCTCGCGTGTGTGTGTGTGCAGGCGTATATTTTGCTTTGCACTTCTGAGTGTGTGTTTGTATGTGTGAGCGCTCGTGTAACGCGCCTTACAGCAGCCCAAAACCAAGCAAATACAGTTACAGTAAAAGCAACAACAACTGCACATAAATATTATCGCATTTGATTTGTGCATCTTTTGTTTTACGGCTATTCGGGCATACGCTCTATTTATTGTATTTGTTCGTTATTATTATTTTTTTTTTTGCCAATTTTTTTCAAGTGCAAATTGTAACAGCAATAACAAGTACGTAAAAAGACTTGCAAAAATCGAGAGTGAGCGGTAAAGTACCGCTAGAGTGTTACGCGTGGAATACTAACGACAACAACAATAACAACAGCAGCAACAGCAGGAGAAGGAGAAGGAGACAAAGCAGAAGCAACAACAATAATAACAGTTGCTGCAGCAGCTGCGGCTGTTGGTTGATTTTTTGTTGTTGTTGTTGTTCCTCTTCTGCTCCGTATATTGGATATTTCAAGAGACGAGCAGCAGCAGCAGCAAAAGAAGCTGCAGAAATAGAAGAAGTTGTCCAAGAAGTGGAATCAGCAGGAAACCATTTTACAAGTGCAGCGACAGCGACAGCGGCAGCGACGTCGACGTCCAAAGAAAAAACACAACAATTGCCAAAAGGAAGCAACAAATGTAGGTCAAATACTGTTATTAAACATTTTCAAAATCAACCCAAAATTAAATGGGATACATTTTGACTAAAAACAAATATTATTTTTGGCAACTTTGTGCGCCGTTTCCCCTTTGCGCCTTCACGTTTCACATGCGATTCATTAAACAAAAAGTTAAATTGCATATTAAATATATATTGTAAATAGAACAAGTTGAGAATATTATGACATGACAATATAAAATAACATATGTTATTATAGTGCTGATTTATTTGTGTTATATTAGTTATCTGTTTCCAAAAACTATTTTGAGATTTTACATAAAAGAGTGAAATATATATAATATTTTTCAATATTAGAAAATCTAGTCTCATGAATATACAATAATAAATTGATATGCCGATTTTAGTCTCAAAACATGAATAAAACAGGAAAGCTATTTCATTCATGTTTTGAGACTAAAATCGGCATACAAATTTATTAAATAAAACTATCAGAAATAGATACATTTTGCTTTTTTAATGAAACTCATCATTCTATTTTGCACAAAACAAATTTAATAAAAAATTTTTAAGGCATTTTAGAAGATTTAGATCTCCGGCATAGTTTCGATAGGATTTAAATAATGATAAAATATAAATAATAATAAAAACTAATTGCAAGTTGCAGATAAAAATATTGAAATAAACAAATTAAATTCAACTACAAAAATCTAGCTGATAATAATATTAATATAAACAAATTAATTAATTTTACTTGGTATTAAAATAAATAAACCATTAAAAGTAACAGGTTCATTCAAATATTTGGCATGAGAATTTAAATAACTAAAGGAAATAAAAGAAAAAAAATTTAACGATTTTGCATTAAAAAAAAAAATAAAAATAAAAAAAAACAGAAAAACTAAACTACATTTTTATTTAAAATTAATCAATTTAATTCAATTTTAAAAAATATATATTTTTTTAAACACTAAAAAA